CCTTCAAAACATGCACAAAAATAAGAAGTACTTTATTGTCATTGATACCACAGATGCAATCGAAACAGCATTATTGTGTCTGCTTCCATGTCTAACTCAGTACCTAGGACACTTGGCTCTGTACAAATGTGAAATAATGGCCATTATTTAAACTATTAAAAATTGTTGTATCTCGGAACAATCCATTATCATTAGTTAAGTAACATTCTGTTTCCCAAACGGCACACAGTAATGCTGATACATAAAATTTTACAGGGAAAAAAAATTAAACAATTTTCATCTGGCTTAAAAATTATTTGTCAAGGTCTCACTTTAGGGACAATTAATGCTGTTAAATTCTGAAGCCTGGAGAGGGAGGGGTATATAACTAAAATAGCAATAGCAATTGACCTTTTGTTTTATAGTGTTTCTGGGCACCCTCTGGATAAGGTTACCCTGGTTCATTAACTTTAATAACCCTTCCTCTTGGGCTCTGGGTTCTCAATGTTCTTTCTGAAAAGCAGGTCTCTTTGTACGCATAAATTCTCACAGCAAAGAAAACCCACATTTCCACAACAGCCTCATTGATAGCTGAGCAAAATAAAACCTGGCACAGAGCACGCATCCCCATGGAATTCACCCAAGATGTCATTCTTGTCCATGAATACTTTGTGGTCCCAGTTGAAGTTTAATAGTAAAATTGAATAAATCAGAGAGAAACGGGACCTTCTGACATACCTGAATGAAATGCATAACAAAAATATTAATTAAATCATCTAATCACTTAAGTTACATTATTCAGAGAGGAAATATTATTGAGAAACAAACACCAGCAAAAGTATTATTTAATGCATAAAGAATATAAAAAACTTTGAAGGATTATACAAATAACTGGAGAGAACTGAAGTGAGAAGAAAGTAGAAAAAGGAAAACATTATTTGCAAGAGGATAGTTCGGTTTACGGAATGTCTATCTCATGCTTATGGTTATATAACAACCCATGCACCTCCCCGGGGCAGCACGATTCTCCTCACGCAGCAGCCCTCTTCTCTCTCGTTTTCTTAAAGGAACACAAGCTATAGAGGCTATCCATCTGTCCCAGCAGTCAGACTAAATCTGAACTCACACGGCACTTGGGAGAATAAAAAGAAGACATAGTCCCTATCCTCAAGGAGCTGCCAATCTAGTCAAAAATATAAAACAAGTAATAAATCACCATAATGCAGGTAGACTAAGGGTCGTAAGACAGGTATAAAACACCACGAGGGTTCAAAAGGTAAAGAGTAAACCTGGCTGAGGGGACTCAGGAAAGGTCTCATGGTGAGAGTGGGATCTGACCTATGCATCACATGGTGGCTTTGTTGGCAGAATGGAGGACAGAGAAGTGGACATTTCAAGCAGAGTAGAAAGGGTAATGAAAGTACAGAGACAGAAAAACACAGAGAAAGTGTTTTGAAGACATGACTAACCGGTCAGGCAGATCGCAGACAGAACTGTGGCTATGCCTCAGCTGTGTGACCACCACCGGTTTCATCTCTAAAACGGCACACAGTACCTATCTCATAAAACTACTGTGAGAGTTAAATTATAGAATGCATGCAAAGTGGTGAAAACTGTGTGATGAATAAATGCACTGTTCAATTTAAAAGAAGAACACAAAAGGTTAAGTAGGCGGAGATGAGGTTAAAAAGACAGGTAGTAGCCAGACCATGTAAGGGGTTAAATGACAACATTAAGGCTTTGAACTTGACCCCACAAACAGTGGAGTAGCTACAGAAGACCTCAGGCAGAGACATGACATGGTCAGATCTCAACTTGCAACATACAGGACTAACCGAAAAGGAGGAGCCAATGAGAGAGAGGAATTTGAAGTAAACTGACCAATAACAGCCTCAATTCAAAATGTCAAACCAATTTCATTCTAAGAGACTATAAATGAATCAATCAACCAATCAATCTCTCATTACTCAGGCCACATAAACTAAAATGCAACTGTATTCTTTGGAAAAGTCTTTTGGATACCAGTACTAAATATAATCTTGCAGCTACTTAGTACCATTAGTACTAGTCTACATACCTTATATACGAGCTAAAAATACAGTAGAAATGTTAACACATCAGTGTCTTCACACCATTTTGTACAAAGAAGCAGGCTTTTGGTTTTATGAGCTGAACTTGCACTCTACCCTTCTAATCTGATTCTCAGGAGCAAAGCAGGCTGTGCTGATTGCATAATTCTCCACAAGATGGCACACTATTTTCGTAACTAAATCCCTTTTTCTACTTGCAAAGGTATAGAATGCATGTACTATGCACTGCCATAGTGTGGGCTCAACCTCGGATACAAATTCATCCGTCAAAAAGACGAGGTAAGAAGAGCGTTAACAGGCTAGTGAAGGAGGGTAGCTTCACTCTTAGTTTAATACAGACACCAAGAGAAAAACAAATGAAATGTTTTAAGAAACACAAATTTATATTCAAGATAAAAATGAACCATCATCAGGACA